AGACCTTGGCATATAGTGGTGACATATCCAAATAACTTGTAAGCATTTATGTGCAATTGTTTGAACTGATGATCTTGGAATCTGTTTGGAAAGTGTTTGGACTGTCACATTCCAGCTGTGAAATGAGCACTGGTGTGCAACAGCTTGTCAATTTCAGATTCAGTTCAGGTTCAAAACAGAGTTCAGACAGAGGTCAGGCTCAAACTGCAGAAGACAGAGTGCCTTAGTAAGTGCCACATTTATAATGTGGCACACATCTTGTTGGTGCTGTCACTTGGTGTTCGCTTGCTTTGTGGTAGAGTATCACTTCCTGTTCCTGCTCAAACATAGTGGTGTTTCTGAGTAGTTTATCTGCTTAGCAATTTAATTAAAACCTTTTCCTTTTTCATAGTATAATCTAGTGATGGGCAGATGAAGCACTGAAGCTTTTCATCCAATTGGTTCACCCCAGCGCAAAGCTTCTTGAAGCTTCATTTGCTCTAGCAGGACACCTACTGGACGTAAAAATATTAGTTGGCATGAATTTGAAGAGTGTGGCCTTTTGCACACAGCCTGTAAATGTCAACAACAAAAGGAGTGTGTAAAACATGTATATTGTAGTGATGGCAGTATACTGTGTATATTTATACTAGCAGTATGGAAAATGATTATTTGGAAATGCTTAAAATGGAAATGATCATTTACTGTGAGGTGAGGTGTAGTTGGAGTGTGGACAGTGGTTGTGAGAGTTGCAGTCGTTCACACTGCAGGTCTTAAAGCTCAATTCCGATTTTTTGATCAAATCCGATTTTTTTGTCTGCTTGTTCACACTACAAATAAAATGTGACAGCAAACGTGCTCCTGTGTGAACCCTCAAAGCGGCCCGCATGTGCAAAAGAAGACGTCACACACAACGCGCTCTGTTCAGACCCAGACCCAACAGTATTGTTTGACTGATGTAATCAGTATTGTTTTACTGATTATATCTTTATATTAAGATATAAAGACTTGTTTCGGACTTTACGTTCCCCAATTTTGCTTTAAGTTATTTTGTTATTTACATATGGCCTAATGATCCTTATTGATCCTATGATCATTCTTAGTTGCGTACCAGATTTGTATACATCCCAGGAGGGATTTTGGCCAATTCCTTTTTACAGAAACACTCCAGATTCTTTAGGTTCCCTGGCTGCCACTTGATAACTTCAAACCTCAACTCCCTATAAAGATTTACTATTGGTGAGGTCTGGACACAAGCTATGACCTTAATGTGCATCTTCTTTAGGCACTACTTTGTTGTTGTCAGTATGTTTTGGTTCATTGTCATTCTGTCCACAATCCATTGCATCCTGGCTGAGGGTGGGAGATTCTCATTCAAGATTTTACTGTACATGGCCCTGTCCATTGGTGCAGAAGACAGTGACGTTGTCTTCTGCCTTTAGCATAACAGCATAGTGTTTCCACTTTTGTGCTTGCCTGTGGGGATGGTGTTGTTTGGGTCATATTCAGCATCTCTATTCCTCCAAACAAAGCATGTCCAGCACAGTTTTGGTTTCATCTTACCACAGAACTTCGGATAAATTTATTGCAAATTATTTTTTCTGGATTTTTGGTCTCTCACTTCATTAAACTTAAACTAAAATAACATTTAAAGACTGTTCATTCCTTTTTAAATTGGCAAACTTATGATTTTAGTTTTAGTTGGCACGGTGGTTAGCACTGTTGCCGCACAGCAAGAAGGTCCTGAGTTCAATTCCACCATCAGGCCGGGGTCTTTCTGTGTGCATGTTCTCCCCGTGTTTGCGTGGGTTCTCTGGGTACTCCGGCTTCCTCCTACCGTCCAAAGAGATGCAGTTAGTGGGTTAATTGATTAATCCAAATTGCCCATAGGTGTGAATGTGAGCACAAACGGTTGTCTGTCTCTGTGTGTTAGCCCTGTGACAGACTGGCAACCTGTCCAGGGTGTACCCTGCCTCTTGCCCTATGACAGCTGGGATAGGCTCCAGCGCCCTCCGCGACCCTGAAAAGGATAAGCGAATGGATGATTTTAGTTTCCCCCAATATCTCAGCACTTTCTTGCATACTCAATATGAGTATATTTGTCTATTTCAAGACCTATTCTACCTACCCACCATTTCACGACTTACTGCTCTGGAAGACTTTTAGAATTCATATTAACTTTAATATATATACAGAAGACAGTTTACGGATGGACCATGGACGGAAGTAAATTGATACATTTTGAACGGGTTTTCAGCTTCAAGTTCTTGGGCACCCACATCTCTGAGAATTTGTCCTGGCCAACTAACACCTCCAGCCTGGTCAAGAAGGCTCATCAGCGCCTCTTTTTCTTGAGGACACTGAGGAAGAACCACCTGTCTGCTGACATACTGGGTAACTTCTACCGCTGTGCAATAGAAAGCATCCTGACCAACTGTGTCACGGTCTGGTATGGGAACTGGTGAAAACCGCCCAACGCATCATAGGGACTCCACTTCCTGCCATTGAGAATGTCCACAAGAAGAGATGTCTACACCGGGCATGCATCATTCTCAGGGACTCCTCTCATCCTGCCAATGAACTCTTCCAGCTCCTCCCCTCCAGATGTCGCTACAGGACCCTTCAGAGTAAAACCAGCAGGTTTAGGAACAGCTTCTTCCCCACAGCTGTCATCGTACTGAACTCAGTCCCTTGCTGAACCTTCTCATCCACACTTACTCAACCCTCCTACGCCCCTCCTCCCCCCTATCCCTCCCGATGACCAAGATCATGACTGTCATTCATTCTCAGCCTCCACCATATGCTCACACTGGATACTGCTATAGTTCAGGACACTGACATAGCATAGTCTCTGTTATAGAGCGTACACTGTTCAGTATTATAGTCTTTTCAGAGCGCTACACCTCTGCTACTGTTTAAGTAGTGAAAGCTATATTCATAGCACTCGGTACATCTGTACATATGTATACAACACTACATTTGTCTGGAGTTCATCTGTTCATTTGGTCTCTGTATAGCAATATAAACATCTGTATACTTAACTGTATTTTATTACCCTGTATTTATACATGTGTAATGACAATAAACTTGACTCTTAATCCTAATATTTGTCATCAAAAACTTCCCCTTACCTACCAACACTCCAGTCGCTGTGATGTCAATGTTAAGAAGTCACACAGAATAGAGGCATTTCCAACCTTTATTAAAACAGTTCCTTTATGTAGTTGGCAATAAAAAAAAAACAAAAACACAAAAAAACCCCACAAACATTTCCATTTATTCAAATGGCTTTAGCAGTCAAAGGCAGAACGAAGGACTGCTGCAAAGGGTCAGCCACTTAAACTCTGGACCTCATTGTGTTCAACTGTTTGTAGAGATGTGAAGCAAAGGGCTACAACCAAATTAGCCAGGGCTGGATTGCATAGAAAACAAGTGACTCAGTCACTGAAGTTTAGACAGGCGTAATAGTTCCATAACCTGAACAGCAAAAGAAAGCACAAAGCGGGAGCAGAATGTATATGGATAATATTTTAAGAAGAGTCATTTGAATCAAACAATAGATCAGAAGTCTTGATTTAAAAAACAAACAACAACAACAAAACAGTCATTTCAAGTTTCCCTCTTCAAATTAACTCATCTCCAGTTTATCAATAAAACATAAAAAAAAAAAACAATAAAACAAAGGAGGTGAGCTGAGGTATGTTCATCACAGAAGGTCAGGAAATTAACATTTGTTTTAAGAGCTTCATGACCTATCTGGGGCTAAATAAATGTAATCATCTCTGTCAGTGTTAATAAGGGTTTTGTTATTTTTAAACACACTGAACAAAAGGAAAAACAAAGAAACAAGGCAGCAGCAGATTTTTCAAAACCTATGTGATGTTCTTGTAATGCAAATCTTTTTAAACATGCCATCAAGGAAAATTAGAACAGACATTGATGAGTGGAAGCAAAAATGAAATCTACCCAGAATGTGTGAGGAATGGCTCAATGAAAAGGGGAAACAGGAGGTAGCACGATTACAAAGACAACTTTTAGTCAGCTCAGTGCAACTCTGCAGCCAACTGAATCCAAAATATTGAGCTGGGGGTCATTGCACTAACATCTCCCTCTGCTTACAAATGCAATCATTCAAACATTTGATACCAGGCACAACTAAACTGCATAAAATTTGAAAGACATCAGCAGCTTTGCTTCTTTGCTCAAACAGCACAACTGCAGTTCCCAGTAAAAATGTGACTTTGCATGCCAAAAGCTCCAAGAACAGAAAAAAACAAACTGCTGAGTCACCATCTCATTTGAAATTAATGGAAAACTTATTTGGGTAAAATTACATTCATGGTTCCCTTTTCTATAATTACAATTAAATACTGAAGAAGCTAAATTATCAAGGCCCATATACCCTGGATCATGTAGTTGCATGCAAAATCAAAGATGGTGAAGCAGCTGGTGCAAATTTGAATTTAAAGGTATGACACATGGAGCGGTGATGTGTCACTAAAGTTCAACTTCAATGAGAGATATTCAAAAAAGAAGCCAAAATGTTGTATAGGTGGTGCAATCTGCAGTAAGAAAGCATGCAGTAGTGACCAGGAGGGGGTGGAGTGTAATGAATAGGTCCCACTTCCCAAATGTGAAGATACACCCTTTTACCTTCAGCTGAGTAGATCTGATTGTCGTGGATTGTGATGGACAAGCACATTGTAGATTAAATGATTAGTAAATTTTGAAAGGACTAGCTTGGACTGACACCTTGGCCTGCAAGACAGCCTACAAGCAGCTTGGAAAGATGGCAAATGGGACCACAACACAAATTCAGGCTTAAAACATCTGGAATTATTACAGTGGCTAACAGAGTTTACCAGCTATTATTACTTAATTCTAGAATTTAAACCCAACAGAGAAAAAAAAAAAAAAAGGCAGCTGACATGCTTTTCTATCATGTCCTAAGATCAGAAAGCTGTCACTTTTTAGAGAAAAAAAAAAAAAAAAAAA